TGTGCTGGTTAGTGTCAGCATCTGAAAGGAGAGATTTTGAGTGTTGTGTACCATCTGGCCTCATTTTTAAAGTTTATTCAGGCATCGTTTTATTTTCATCCTTGGTCTTGTGAGCAAGATGTGAGTGTGCAAGAAGGCATTCATATTTGAAAACTCCCAGAAGTTTAAAACTCGTAGATCTTGAAACTAGCATTTAAAAAAAAGGGTGGAAACCAACCCTTGTGAATAATTTTCTGTTTAAAGTGATTGGTTATTAAACCTCAGTATGGAAGATACTAGATGGAAAAGAACAAGTCAGTGATCATGCAGTGTAAGAAAGACATTCTGTTATGTTGGTATATGTTTACTCACATCAGTTAAAATCATGTTAATTTTAATATGTTTAATAACGTATTGTACATCTCTGCTCAGTGGACAAATTGGGTTACAGTTGTGAATTGTAGAGTGGAATAGTCAGTATGTTTTAGCTTTACGATTTTGTTTTTCCATTCCAAAGAGGAGGTTTGGAAACACTGACAAGTAGAAAAGTAGTAGAGGTAGATTACCCTGCTCCAAGAGTTCCACAAAGCCCTTGTCCTCCGCACCTCTGTACCCCTGCCACCCCCCAGAGGAGGCTTATTTTCCTTCTGTTTTTCTTACACAGCTGCAAGTGGAACATCGGTGAAATTTTTATGATACTGTTTTGACATTGCTCTTAATCTATGGCAGAAATCAAGCTCATCAGACTGCGGTATCTTAAGGGATCCTTGAATACACTTAATGCAAGGTTAATGATTGCAGAGTTAAATAATCTGGGGAGTAGCGGGAGAAATGCGGTGTGAAATATGTGCTTTTGAAAAAGGGAAAGAGGATTCCTTCCCAGGAGCCAGAACAGAAGGCTTCTATGTAGGTTGCAGAGATGGTTTGAGAAGGAGAGAGAGCAGATCTGACTCTGAATTAAGCCTCTTAGGGATTATGTATCTTTAAAAGTAAGTCTAGGGGTAACGTTTCAGTCAGAAATTTTCAGAATTTCCCCCAGTCTTTCATCCAATCCAGTGTTGGTATGCGATTGGACTCTCTTCTAAGCATTGTCCTGCTCCACCTTATGAGTTACCACCTACACCACTGCTTACTATATAGGATGCTTTTCAAGCAGATACATTTTTTTGTCTGAGGATATACATCAAGATGAATTTTTTAAATGTGTAATTGAATGCTAAATGTGTAATGAATTCACGCTTGGAGAAGGTGTCTTTTTTTTTTTTTTTTTTTTTTTTAATTTACGTAGAGCTCTGAGTAATTAAATCTCAACTTTTCACTGGTAATATTTTGTGTTTGTGTGTCACCATACATACTTCAGTTTATGTATTACCGATGGTAATAGTATGGATTTTGGCAGCTGGGGCCAATTCAGCTGTCTGCTCATATGCATTGTCGTAGCGATTGTGCTCGTCCCTGGCTTAGGTAACTGTACAGTTTTAGCTGCTGTAAAGTAAAAGGCTGTTGATGCACTGACATGTCGGTGATGTCAGCGTGACAAGCAGTTTACCTCTGAGCAAATCAGTCTCTTGCTGACACTAGGGCTGACCGTAAGCAGTCTGTATCTGAAACCCACTCTTCCCTCAGAGCATGTATAGTGAAGTCTCAGCCTGTTATCCACGACTGGAACCTCAAAATACTTGACATACACACAAGTTTAGAGATGGATAGTGTAGGGCCGGTTAGAGTTTGGTGTTTAAAGGAATTTGGTGTAGTCCTGATGGGTGTGTTTCTTACGCAGTCGCACACCTGAAAATACTAAAGTCAGAATGAAAATAGTCTGAAAGGGCTTTGACAAAGTTAATAGCACATGCTAGTGTATCTCTGCTGTGGGTTTTAAATGTTGTTTACAGAGTGTGGGGTAAACTAATCCTGATTGTGAGTAGCTTGTGTAGGAATTGTGTCAATAACGTAAACTTTTGTTTGATTGTTCCAAATATTAGATTTGGAAAAAAGCTAACTTTGAGGCTTTTGAAATTAAGGGGAATAATTGAGAGTGTACAAGCTAGGAGCCCGAAATTGTCATACTGATAACAAGATGATTTCTTGCAAGGGTGTGTGCTTTTTTGAAATCCTAGTAAACATTTTTTAGCAAGAGCTCACTACTTAGGCATTTCAGTTGCAGAAAAACCTTTTACATTTGAATTAATGGTTCAGAGTAAGTACTACAGGGATGTCTTTCTGAAGCTGTTTCACAGCTAAAACAAGTATTTTCTGACACAGAGATAACTTGTATAGCGCCAGGCACGCTGATTCATTGGGATGTAGGATGGACAGACAGCAGGCGGGGAGCTAGTGCTGTATTTCAAGTTGCTTAAAATGTAATGGCTTCCCCCCACCCCCCCAGCATCCTTTTTTTATTGAGATTGTTATACTTGCCAAATGATGTGATATCTCAGTTCTTTTTCACTTCAGCACGTAGTTGTGCCTTAAAAAGGTTGGAAAATTCTGTCGTGCTACCAGAGGGTGCTCTGTGTGCAGCTTGCAGAAATGTATTTCTTGAGAGATGAAGCAGACTTAGGAGGCAGAGGATGACAGGGTCTGTTATAATGGGTGGGTTTAATGTCATCAGTCATGACCTAAAAAGTTTATTTTTAAAACAATATTTTTCTCAGTTTATTATGCAGGGATCTTTTAACTGGTTTACTTTGCATTTGCAGGTATAAAGCATTATTAAATAAAGCCTCATAAAATCTAATGGAACTCTGGTTTCTTCAGGCCCAAATGGGATGAATCTTTTTTTTTTTTGTGCTGTAAGTCTGACTAGGATTAGATGCTGGTAAATTTTTTAATGTCTCATTTTAAATTGTAAAGAAACAGTTGCATAGAACATTTCCTTATGTGAATACATCATTTTATAGTAAAAAGAGTTCCCTTAAGATAGTATTAATGTTTAACTTTCATCTTGTGCTCCCTATTTAAAAAGGAAGCAGTTTCTTTTTTTCAGAAAGAAGTACCTGGCCTGTGATACCTCGGTTAAAAACATTGGTAAATGAAAGACTTTATTATTATATGGAGGAATTAGGGGTAGATTTATATAATTTAATAGCCTACAATAGAGATTATTGTTTTGTTTTGTTGCATGACTGCATCAAAAATTATCTTCTGAAAAGATAATTTAGTTATGATTCAGCAAGTGTTTTTCTTAGGCGTGTTTTTGGAATATGATAAATTCGAACTGGTATGGTACTGAACAAAAATGACTTGGTTATACTGAGAGCATAAGCCAAGATTAAGTCCTGTGCCAAGAACTGTGAAGCCATTCACTCAAGTACCATTTAGGGATCCTGTTCTCTTCAGGTGTTGTGCCTTTGCAGTTAGTAGTTGGCAATTCGTTATGTGAAGGTTTTTTAAAGCCTTAACTGTTCACTGTGCTACAAACATTTGTATCACAAATGTTCTGGTTTATTTTGACTGTTAGAATTGTTTGTTGACTAAACAAGATACATTAATATTTGTTTAAAAACACTGAACGCCATTAAAATGGTTAAACTCTTTCCACACATCAGAGTGATACAAGTATAAATCACTTTCTGTGTAAGAAAACTACATTTTGTAATTGCTGTGGAATTTAGCTTAAACTCAAGCTTTGAAATTTATGAATGTAGAAGGCTGTGAGTCATGCAAACAGCAAGTATATGAGTTTTATTGGAATAAACCACCTAAAAGTTTAAAAAAAACCCAAACCCAACCTGTGATTGAATAACTGTATCTACAGCTTGTGTCAAAAGCCTGCACTTCACTAGAGGTGATTTTTCAAATTGAGAACTTCTTTCTATGGTTTGGTTCCCAATCTCCCAGTACTTGGTTGTATCTTGATTGAGCCATGCTAAGGATTTACCGTGAGGAAGACTTGGCCCTGACGAAAAAGCTGGTGTCTGATGCGGTTTTCTCATGGAAGGGTGGAGGATAGCAAAGAATTGTCTTAAATTCCCATCAGAGTATGCTGAAAGTGAATGAGAGTGATAAGCTGTAAGGTGCTGGACCAAACTGACCTGCTTTTTATCCATGGCCATGCTGTTTGTGACTAGTGACTCTTAATGTGAATATCCCTTCCACGTGCCAGGAACGTGTTATTAGTGGTATTTTCCAGTCCTCTTGTCTATTTTGTCAATATATTCAACTCCTTGCTCAACTTTTCTGTCCCAGTGTATCTCTGCTGTCCTGAGTGTTCAGGTGCTATTCAGCTCATTGCAACGGGTGGTGGAATTTTACAGAAGCTTCCAGGTGCTAGGAAATGCCAACACACCAGGTCTTTTTATTGGGAATGTTTCACTTTCTGTAAACTGGATATAAACTCCCATTTTAGTGTGGGGTTTTTTTTGGTAGTCATTTTAGGTACTTGTCTTTTTGTCATAGAAATACATATGCAAAATACCTAAAAGGGTGCAGGAAGTTAATGCTGGGAAAAGATGTTTCATCTTAGGTTTGTTACGCAGGTTTTCAGGCACATGGGTAACAAAATTTGTAAGAGCAACTGTACCAAAACTGGTGATGTTTAGATCTTTAGTATTTTCCTACACCATTGGCGGTTTCAGTTCTTTTGCATGTGTGGTACTGTTAGTTTTGCATAGCTCATTAACTAGCAGAACTCTGGAAGAGTAATTGTTTTTGCTAAGGGTAGGTATCTGTGTTTTAGAATGTAAACCAGCTTGTGTGTAGGGATTATGCACACTGATGCAACTTCTTGCCCTGCGTGTTGGTTTAAAACTGGTCACGGGATGAGCTGCAGTTTGTGCTGTGATCACCTCTAGTGGGAATTTGAAGGAAAATGCATTATATACAGTTTTAGAGCCCAAAGTCCTTTGCTAAGGACTTGGGAAGGAATTAAGATGAGAGTTGGGATGCAAACAGGTGAGTTTCTGGCTCCCAACACACACGTCTCTTTGAATGTTACTATCTTAATAGATTTTATAATGAATTTATTAATTATATTGAATAGAAAGCCTTCTTTAACAAAGAACCTTGTTTTTTATTTTTAGTATATTTTTGGGGAGTTCAGCCCTGATGAATTTAACCAGTTCTTTGTGACTCCACGATGCTCTGTTGAGGTAAGAATCTACTTTAAACTATTTCTAGAAATAACATTGTAAAGCTTCATCTTTTTGTGTATTTGAAATATAACAGTACAGTTATTTTTTAAATTATTCTTAGTTTTCTAATTTACAAACTGAAGATATTGAACAGGAGTCTTCTTTCCATGTATGTGGATGTTAAGAATTTTTAGCAATAAATTAATTATTCCACCTTCTACTTGTCATCTTTCAGAGCTGGAATAGTAGCGATAGGATGTTGAAAGTAAGTTATCCAGCCCTATTACCTCAGCTTTGATTGATTTTTCTTTTTTAGAGGTGGATATAGAAAAAACATTTTCAGCAGAGTTCTTGGTTATAAGGTGGGCTTCTGAGTCTTGTGAACCTTTTTAAAGCACCAGGATTCTTAATATTTTCTGACAGGCAGAGCACTGCTAACCATCAAAGCTATGCTTCCAAGGAAGGCTGTGCGCCAGGTCTGAGGAATAACTGGATCAATAATAACTAATTACAGTGGCAGTGAGAACCACAGAGTGGAAACAGTTGTCTTTGTGTGTTTGAGTTCATAATTTACTACTGATAGTATTGTAGACTCTTATTTTCTGTAGTTCTTCACAGAGACCGAGGAAACCATTTTCCTTTGTAGGGAAGAGTTATGCCATTGTCCTGATCTCCAGACTTGCAAAATAATTTTCCTCTAGGTCAATTTCCATGTTTTTCCTCCAAACATTTCCATTCAAATATTGTAGTCATGCTTCTGTCCTCCCTCCTCAGCATAAAGGAAATGAATACTTTAACTGTAGATGGGGAAATCCTTTTGTCATATTTTACAAATCTGACGACCATTGTTAATGCAACTTAGTTTCCTGTAACTTAATTTTCCAAGTATAATTAATATAGTATACTGCTAAACAAAAGTGCATGAAGGGAATGGGGTGGAGTGAGGGGAAGTTTAGAAAGAAAAACCTAGCTTCTACTTGCCTTTAGGGGTAGCTTTGTATCTTCTCTGGTAGGTGGGGAAGTCATGCAGAATAGATTTTCAGGTAATACGTGTTTTTTCTGATGATACTACTGTTTTCCCACCATTAAATACAATAGCAGTAGTGTCACCTTGTGTCCTGCATCAGCTATTCTGATGCTTATATCGCGGAAGATGAAAATGTCATATGTTCTGTAGAGCTATTCTCATAAGGTATGTTGAGGAAACATGAACGTACAGCATTAGAACCAGTCTTGCTTCATTTTATAACTGTCTCAAGTGTACTACTTACTGGTTAGCTGTCAGAATAAAAAAACTGCGTTGAATGATATTCCTTAAGTTTGTCCTTGATCTGATTAGGTTCAACGTTTTTTAATTATCTGGATGATGAAATAAAAATTATGCTTATTAGTTTTACACTGTGCAGATATTTCAGAGAAAAGTGGTCTGAAAAAAAACAGGGTGAAATTCAAGGAGGACAAGACTGGGATGCTAGTGCTGGAGTGGTGTTTGACACACATTCTGCTGGGGGCAGTGCCAGTTCTGGGAGTCCCAGCATACGTGGATGCTGGCGTCCTCTGAAGTCCCTTACCAATTGACTTCCCTTACCTGTAGACTGAAGGGTGGATTGAGGCAAGCAGTGGTTAAAGCTAAGAGCTGTCTAGAATGTCTCTATATATGAGATCTTTAATACATGTTCTGTCAGACACCTGGTGACAGAGATGATTCAGATGACCCAGTTGTACGAAACAGGTCAACTCAGAAATGTCTGCTTTGCAAAGGTGCTGTTGGTTAACTAGATATAGAGGGGACCAATAGGTGGTTTACTCCCCCGCCCTTGTATTTTCTTAAGCCCTTTGAATTGGAGAAAACCAAGAATTACAAATTTTATCGTAAACTGTTGACTGTAGATTTTTAAAGTAACGTTTTTTTACCTCAAACTATAAAACTGTTTCGAATCTGTGTTCAATATTAATACGGATAATAGATTTTTAACAGCCTGAAGCCTCTTTCTGACCTATTGATTCTCGTTTTGGCCTGGAAAGTTGATGTATTAAGGTGTATTGTGGTTTATAAATGGATTTTACAGTATGTGTTCTTTTCATGTGCTTTTTTATAACGGAATTTTAGGAATATTTTTTGTGCCACTGACGCACTGTTGTCTACAGTGCTTTGAGAAGGCAATGTGTAAGTATCTGTAGCTTTAGAGAACTGAAGACTTCAGCGGAAAAGTCTTTGGTGTTTGTTACACCATTGCAGTTAATATTTAGACTAGTGTTACAAAACTAGGGTATGCTCCCAATGTTTTGTCTCCCACTGCAGAAACAGTTCAGCTGTTCTCCAGGCAGGTGTTGGACTTGCAGTGTAGCAATGGCTCCCAGTTCATGCAGGCACAGGAGAAGGTGTTCAGCTGCTGGGGGAGTTTGGGGGCAGGCAACGGGGCATTAGAAATTGCCCACCTGTGGTTACCCAATAGCAGGGGTTCCATCAACCAGAGTCCATAAAATGATGACAGTGTTTTACACCAGACATACTTAAAATCCAGATAGAAACTGTATGCTGTGGTTCCATTATGCTTAGGCGATGATAAATGTTTTTGTTAAATATGATTAAGAATATACCTCAGCTAAACATTTCATGGGCAACACTATAGCTGAACCAGGGTGAGAGTCAAAAGGTTTAGGTGTGACTGTTGTCTGTGCAAAACTTTGTTTCATCCTTTCACAGGTAGTTTGGTCTGTGTTACGTTTTTGTCTAAAAAGAGGGTATGTTCCTCATTTTAAAATCTTGGTGAGTTACTGTTGATGAAGGAAGATCCTGATGCTGTGAGGTGAATTGCTTGAGAAGTTGATGAGCCTATGGTGTGTAACCAAGATTATCTTTCAGTAATTGTGGTAATCTGCAAGGACACTTGAAGCTACAGTGTGGGATTTGATAAATATAGAAGCATGAATTCCTGAAAATCAAACCTTAATAATGATGTTATTCTTAAAGGATTCAGATGTTTCAGATGAAACTGATACTGAATGTCAATAGAGTTGCTTTGTCTTTTAAATAAGTTTCATTTCTTTTTTGTACAGCTCCCTCCATACAATGAAACAGTTTCATGTGGTATTAAGTCCACAGGTAAGTTTCACAATGGTAAGAATTGACATCCTTTTTTTTTTCAACTTAAAAGGTTGTGACACTTTCCTTAGATTTACTACAACCTGTCTTTAAATGTAATCTTTAGAACTCATTCAGCAGGTGTATATATCTGTCAGATTGGTTTTTTTAAACATCTTTATTGAATGAGATCCGTGAGAGCGTTAAAAAATACTGCACTGAACTTCAGCTAATTAGCATGGACATGCTTAGTCCTTGATTGTGTTACCACACAGTCTTAATGTCTTGTGGAAATATTGTAGGATGTAGCTGTAAAAGTGTGAGGGGCTCAGGTTTGCTAGAGAACTTGTCCAGAAGAAATAAGTAGCAAGTGTGTTCAGCAGGCCCTCCTGTAAGAGCCACGACATAAGTATTTTCTGGCAGTTGCAACCTGAAGACAGCTCTGCAAGCCGTGCTCTGTTCAGTGTTCCCATTGACTCGTGTTTCTGTCTGGCTCAGCTGTTTTTTTGGAAAATCCTTCCCCCCCCTCCTTGGTGAAAGTATGACTCGATGTAAAAATGCATTACAGCATTCCTGTTTTAAAAGCTGTAACAGTCACACGTCTACTCTGTCTCAAGCCATACACATTACAACCTGGCCTTACTTCATAGTTATATAAAGTTGATAGTTAAGTAGGAGTTGCACATGATCGTCACTTTATATAGTTTAAAGTGAACTTTCACAGTATTTTAAGCAACAGGTAAATTAGTGTTTGGCTTTTTTTTTCCCTGAACCAGGGTAGAGCAAGGAAGCTGAGATTTACCCAGATGTCTATGAGAATGATACAAATGACAAAATAATACAAGTGTCTGACTGGACATTTCTCAAAAATACTTAAGAGGACCAAAATGCACATATTAATGTTTAAGAACACTTGATCATGATGCTTAGTGACTTTGGCCTTGTGTTTAAAGGTAAATAAGACAGCCAGTCAAAGAAGGGCAACAGGTCCCATTTGAAAGCAGATAAGCAACATTTCTGAAAATTCAGGAGCTTTATTTATTACAAGACCAGTTTTAGGTCCCTGAGTAGTTTTAAGTAAGAGTTTGAAAAGTTTGTTAAAAGGACCATATGGTATGAATTGTTGTTGATGACAGCTGTGTCCAGTCATATATTGCTTTGTCTAACTATGGATTTAAATTCTGTTAAGACTGAGATTTTTAATGTTCACAAGCCATACAGAAAGTTGGTTTGTACAAATGTTTTTCAGATCATACCTAGACCCTGAGAGAACCCCTCCCAGCCCTGAGATTAGGTAATGACAGCAAATTAGGTTTTGCCTGAAAAAAATGTCTTTAACAAGCTTGCACTGTACTGTGCATGCATATGATCACTGTGATGGCTGCATAAGAAGCTGTGGAAACTAAAATGGAATGCTATGCTTATGCAGAATATTTATAATAAGATGACATACACTGACCATATTGTCAATCCCCACAGTCTAATTTTTTTCATTACTTATCTTCAGTATTTAACTTTATTACGGAGTTAGAAGACCTGTTAATACTCACGAGGAATAATCAAATCATGGCTGAAGCTCTAATATGCAGAACTCTGTATAGACTAATTAGTACTGTGTATTCACAGCTTGTGTTACTGTACACAGACTTTGTCCTTGGAGCATCTGTTGATACTTGTTTCAATATGCGTGTCATGTTGTTAATGACAGATATATCTGTTTCAATCTATTTAGAAAAAAGCACTGTGAACTAGATTGAAACAAAGATGCCCGGAAGCAAAGTGGGAAGTCAAAACAAATAGAAAAAAAAATCTCTCTCATTTTTTCAAGTGAACTTGACTGAATCTTACAGCAAATGAGCTTCTGCCAATCATTCCACAGACTAACTATACAGTAGCTACTGGTATTTATTATTCTAATCCTTCTCTAAGGTGTAAAGTTTAATTCCTCAGCTGTAACTTCCTGATTTGTATGTTAAATGCTAGAATATCAGTTATGCTCTCGGCAAGATTTTAACCTACCATGTTCATGTTGCACCTTCAGCTGAATTACCGTTGTGCCACAATTGTAAGGGATGTGTTTTGTTTTCTGCTCCCCATCTGCCCTCGGTTGGTTCTTGTGATTGTCTGGTGTATATATAAATTCACCAAAAATTGGGGGGGGGAAAAAAATAATACTTGCTTGGATTTTTTTTTTTTTTGGCTAGGTTAGCTTTTGGTAACACAAGTGCTGTAAGCTTGCTGGAGAGTAGAGGAACAGGACAGGAGTGCAGAAATGAGAACTCTCACTTTTGCCTGTGGTAGACTTAACTCACCCACAAAGGGAAACCACGTTCTTTGTTTCAAAGCAATTATTATTTTTAACTGGGGTTTTGAAAAAGAGGCAGAAGTCTGGTTATTTTGAACTGGTAGGAATTTGAAATGTGCCCAATAATTCATTCTTATCATGGAGTAATATTACATGTTACCAGTTGTTGCTTGTGCTTTTTAGTTTTGTAACAAAGGGTAAAGAACTAGCTCTTGGTTCATGCTTGAACTAACAAGTTGCTCCATAAACAGGTGAACTACTGAGGAGTAGTTTTGTTGTGGATTTGTGTTCTGTATCCCTTAAAACTCCCTGCCCTGCATTTGCAAACAAATTAAGCTGTGTCTGGTTTGGAGCTGTGTGTGTCCTGGCAGATCATCTATATCCCTGATAGCTAGTTGGTGTTGCTGTGTTGCTGTTAACAGTTAGGTGATGCCTGACATCTCCCAGCCCTTCCTTCTTAAGTGGGGATCAGGCAGCAGCTTTACACCTCCCTGTCTCTAGGCTGCTGATTTTTTTTTTTTTTTAAAGAAACTTAAGCCCTTTTTTCTTGTTGGTGATAGCTAGTCAGTGATTGCAGAAGTAGTTTGTGAATGGTGGATTGACAGGCGCGGTGTTATAAAATGCTTTCTCATGGGTGTAGGGGAGAGGTGAAGAAAACTTGAAATTCAGGCTCTTGTTAACATGATTGAGAGAAATTAGATGTGTATGGAGACGTTTTTGTTTTTTCTTTTGTTAAGTTGCCTTTAGTCTGACTGGTAGCAAGATCGAAATGTGTTTACTTTAGTTTGGTAAATTGATCGAAGCAGAAAAGCATTTAACATCTGTATTACATATCATTGTTCATTAATTCCAAATACGCTGGTCTTGCGTGTGCAAGTCAGACCTCAACACACATTGAATGTTACTCTTCATTAGATATTAAAAAATAGGTACCATGTAGATTCCTGTTTCTTTCACATTTTTCTAAAGATAAAATTTTAGTCAGCAGACTTCTCTAGACAGTATTTGGACAGTTTCAAAACAGGTGGACAGTTATGTATCAAAACACTCTCCACTAGACTCTGTCCTCCCATAGGTCTATTTCTTTAGGTGTGTGAATGACTTTTTTTTTTCCCTTAGGAACTGTTGCTTGCTTTTTGTTGTGGTTGTTTTTGTTTTTTTTTTTTAAAAAAAACTGTGGTATACTTGATAGATACATTATGTACCACACGTCAGCAAATGCAAGTTGCACAAAATCTTTAAAGTTTTTAATTTGGTATATCTACTTATATTCCTTTGGAAATCCTATCTAGTGTTGTCTGGTTATCTAGTAACAGCCTTAAAAATTGGAAGTGTGGTTTTTTTTAGTCCCCCATCTTTGAAAAAACAAAATATAAAGGTTAATCCTTTTAAAACAGTAACATACATATAGAAAGACCTACAAGGCTTACAAGTACTAAAATGTGAGCTTACCTTTAACATTCCTGAGATTCAGTTTCATTAATTTTATCTCTTTATTTGATAGTTATGGAAACAGTTGTATTTGGTGTTACTAGTTACAATGCACACATTAAAAAATCAAGTTCCACGGAATTGCATTACTCTGCAACTGACAGTATTTTGTGATACTACAGCCTGCCATGAGAATATTTCTTAATATTTCTTTAAAGTGCATGTCAAAGTTCCAAGATAAATAAATAAAACCCAATAAAACTTAAAAAACAAGCCTCAAACCCAAGCCTGTTCATCAATTTGTTAGTACTGCTTGTATGTACAAGTTGAACACTGACTTATGTTGAGGTGTATCTCTTGTATTTCTTGTCATAAAATCATATAGTCCTATGTATCATACTCTCATATAGTAATAAATTCAGCTGTGATAAAATTAAATAATGTATTAATGAGCCTAGAGTTTCAAAAGCTGTTAATTGTGGTGTTTCCATACAATTAATGAATTAATGAAAATATTTTTCAGTTACTAAGAATTATGATAAATCTTTATATGCCAGGAAAACCAACCCAAGCCCCCCTTCCGCATGTAGAAGTTATTTTCAAAAGTTAAACAGGTGAAGGCTTGGATTTTGTAATTGTCAGTGGGAAAGACTGGCTTTAGAAGAAGTGTGGAGTTAAATATTGCACCATATTTTATATGCAATTATCCAGTAATTAACTTAATGTAGACTATTGCTGAAGTCACTGGGCTTTAATAATTTTTCTCAATAGGCCAATTTAATAGGTGTAATTTGCAGGAACTGTGCAGTGATTTGGAAAATTACATACTCTGTTGTCGTTAAGAAAACGATGTTTTGAAAGTCTTCAGGATTGACATAGAGAATAAGAATTACTTTGTTTGAGGGAATGTAGTTTGTTTTCTGAGTTGAGGGAAAATGTGAGTGATTTTTTTTTCCTTGATTCTGTAGCTTTTTGATTAGATGTCATTCATTAACTCAGGTTTGCTTTCTCTTGTCCAGGGGAGGAGTATCAGAGAATTGAATTTGGTGTTAATGAAGTTATTGAGACACAGTCATCTGTTCTAAATAACACCGACTACAGTATTTCAAGTACTCTGAATCCTCAGGCTCCAGAATTCATTCTCAGCTGTGCACCTGCTCAGAAAACCCCTGATGATACTCTCAGTGAAACAAACTACAACTCCATTGACTGTCAGTTCACTGATCCGACCCTCGCTTTGGACAGCGGTTCTAACGCTGAAAACGATGGCTTGTCTGGAGGCCTTGGACAAAGGGAGCGTAAAAAGAAGAAAAAAAGACCCCCTGGATACTACAGTTACTTGGAAGATGTCAGTGACGGCATCACTCCCACGGAAGCTCTTGTGAACGGCCATGCGAATTCATCGGGACTGAACAGTATAAGCACGGAGGATACGGAACTGACGGGAGACATCCCCTCCCTGGCCACACCAAGGACTTGCAACAGCCCGGACAACTCTGTGGACTTCGTTAATGAAGCTGTCTCTGATGATTCTGTTTCTAGCGCACTAGACAATACCAGGACTGCAGGGCAGCCTGAGGTATGCCGTGTTACTAATTCTGAACAGTTTTGCATCCCCTCAGAGACTGGCAGAGATAGCCCTTTAAGGACAGCTGTTGTACAGTCTTATGCTGGTACTGATACTACTGAAAATCTTGGCGTTACTAATGGACAAACACTTGAATCCTCTGGTGAGGACACAGCTGCCAATGGGGTAGAATTGCACACTGTGGAAAGCACTGACTCAGACCAAGCTAAGCCTGAGGAAGCTTCACCTACTACTGAGGCAACAGTCCCGGTTGCAGGATCAGTCCCTGTTAATCAGCCTGCAAAATCGTGGGCTAGTCTCTTTCACAATTCCAAGCCCTCTGCTTCCACATCTGTGGTCTATGTTGAGACTAAGTATACCCCTCCTGCCACATCTACTCTGGTCCCTGAGAAACAGGTTGAAGTCAAAGAGGGACCTGTTCCAGTTTCAGAGGATCCTGTAGCCATAAAGATTGCAGGTATAGTTAATACACACGAGTGGATGTTACACTGGAAGGGTATTAACTCTGCTTGTAAACAGGAGTGTGCAGTATCGATAGAGAAGATTCCTCTGTTAATGTTCCTAATAGGATGACTGTTCAAGCACTGCTCTGAAAGATGTAGTTTAAATAAGTTAGTTTTGTATCCCCCTGAGTAATCATTCTGATGAGACATTACCATGTCGTTATCCCAGATGCAGTAAAACTATTGCTGCTTGTCAGACAGTATGTTAAAGTGACCAGTGATTTTAAATAGACTGGTTGCATTCAGCTGTGTGCTGTTGTGATAAGGAGAATATGTTAGAAAAGTTTGCTCTGAAATTGGTGTGTTCTATTATTTGGTGTTTACAATCTTGTAATGGATTCTGTTACAAGAAGGGAAGAGTATTAATATATTTGTGCCAAAGTAGCTGAAATTCCTGGACACTTACAGTAGCATAAGTGTGACATCTCAATAGGTCTTGCTACAGAAATTCTAATTTAGGAAATAATTTTTATTGATTTGTTCTTTGAGAGGTCTGTCTTCCAAATTTTGAAGAATTATCCTTAACCATTATAAACAGTGCTATTTCTGTTTTATTCAGCAACAGTGCTAGCTATTGCCTGTTCAGAAATAACCATAAGAAACTGTCCAGCGGGTACATCAGGAAAGGCAGTGCCTGATGTAAAGGCTTTGTGACTGTTGGTCCTGTCATATTTGTGGTTCTGCTGAAAAATACTAGAACGTGTCCGAGATCATTTTTGTAGATTCAGTCAGAAAACATGAAGAAAAATAGCCAGTTGGTTACATTTTGTGTCACTGACTCATGGGAGGTTGGAGCAAAACTAATTATTTCAGATCTGTGAAGTAGCCTGTATGTGAAAAGACTTGTGCAAAGTCCTGCTATGTATGCTACAGGCTAATTTGCAAGTACAGTGGCATTTTGTATGTGACAGCTTCGAGTTGTTTTACTTTAACCAGAAGTTGACAGACATTTCTGATCAGAATATGCCCTCCTCTCATCCCCTCCTTACTCAGTAATGGTTTCATTACTTAAAATTGTCTGTTGAGAAGAAAATTGGCAGAATAATTTATGTTTCTCTGTATTTTTCACTTAGGTGTCACAAATGCAGTTGACTGTATAAAAAATATATAAGCAGGTGATTATGGTTTGTATGAACATGTGGAGTATGTTGTACTCTGAAATTAAGCTATTGTTCCATAATGAATTTTAATTTAAAACTGTTTTGTGACAACTGTAAAGCTAGAACTGCTTGCCATAGATGAAAGGGTTTTTTTTAATCTTATCCTAGTTGCTTCAGCTTTAACGTTCTAGACTTTCACTATTTCTGTACTATTTTTTGCCACCAGGTGGGAGCAGAGCTTTTTGTTTTGTCTCTTAGTGCATTAAAATAGCAATGTAATTTTGATGGTTTCCTTCTGCACCTTCACTCTCAGCTATCTGTTTTTGCAGAGGAATAGTCTGAGTATAGATCATTTTCCAGTAAAAAAGAATTAATCTCAGTTTAGCTAATTTAGGTGGGTGTTCTATTGCTGCAATTATTGTAATTCTGATGCTGCTGGTTTGGGTATAAAATGTTTACCTGAAGATCTGAATGCCGTGTAGTCAGTGCTTTGCTCTGTGGAAAAAGGTGACTTTCTTCACTGTCTGGTTTTTTTAATGCTCTCTGTCCTATTTGGAAAAATAGGTACATTAGTGCTTTGTTCGTACACCCACACTCCAACATGCGTTACACAGGTTTCAGTTTATGATTTTCAAACAGATTACTTGCTCTGTCCATACATATTTCAAATCTTGTGCCAAGGTGAATATCACTGAATAAGGGTGTATAGCAATCCTGTATGTTTTTCATAGGTAGCTGCTGATTGGGTTCCTTTTTTCTTTGTGGCTAAGTTGAGATGCTGTTGGATTTGCTGGGAATTCACCAGTTTCAACTCATGCCAACGAGAATGAATTTTTGACTGTAAGTGCCATAGGGTGCTGAACACAATCTAGACCTGAAGTATCTTAAGTTTAGCAAGCAAAATTAGCCAATATTCTGACAGTGGTGGAGCTCTGAGGCCATTTTGTACAGTTTTTATTTAGAAATAGGGCTCAAGGCACAAGAAGAGAAGTTACTTCCAGGGACAACTTGCTGGTTTATGCCTTAATTTCACAAGGGATATTAGTGATTCACAGGCACCTTGAAGATAGTTCAATGCTACTTGATTCAGCTTGGAAAAAAAAAAAAGTGGTTTCTTAGTCTTCAAATTTAAATGAAAGCTACACAAGATAAGGAGATAAAGATCAGGACTAGAAAACAAATAAACCAGACAAATGTAATTTTAATATTGATGAGGGAAAAAAATACTGAAGAGTTAATTTTAGCAAGTGGCTGAGGTGTGTGTTTAGAAGCTTTACTGGCAACACTTGTGAACAAGTTAAAGGAACTTCTGAAGCAAACTGTGAACTGTTGATGTCTATTTGCAAAACTCAAAGCAGGTACCATCAGAATGGTAGAGAAGCACAGCTACAGCACTTGCATGTTCAGAAAGGGACAACTACTAATTATACACCTTAGCCTAATTTAGATGCTAGGACAGACATTTTAGTAATTAATTTCTAAGGGATAGTAACGTTATAAATGGTCCATATGAGTAAAAAAGTGACTCTTTGGGGCTTCACTTGCCACATTTCACAGTTACATTCTGATGCATAACCTGATGATAGTTAATAATGCCTTATGTAATGTTCTAAGTAAGTGAGGGAAGTAAGTGATTGCAAAACTAGCAATTCTGAGTTTTAACTGTCCTTGCTAACTTTAGAAAAAAATTCAAGGAAGAGTCTAAAAAGTTTTTCTGAATGATTTTTTTTTTTTTTCCAGTGTGGATGGTGGAATTAGCAGTACACGTAAAATTTGCTTACAAAAGGCAGGATTTCAGATGAATCGAATGCAAACTTTAAGGTCAGACTAAATCTGGAATGATTTTAAATTGGAAGGGAATCCAGTAAACGCAAGCATGAAAGGATATACCAGAACAGAAATCAGATGCAAGCATACAGTATGAAGAACAAATGGTTGGTAATAATACTAGAGAATAAAAGGATCTGGAAGTTCTAGGGAGTTGATAAGTGTCCTTAGTAAAGCTGAAGACGACAGGCTTTTTTCAGTGTGTGTTAATACCCAATATACATGGAAAAGTTGGAAAAATAATGATAATTCTGTTGTTGCTGTTGTGGACTCAGTGCAAATGCCAGTCTTTGGGCTTTACTTCTCAAGGAAGATGTAAGTGCAGCAGCAAACACAGAAGTAAGGTTTTAAAACCATACTTTTTCAGCAAACATGGAGATTTTTGAATTTACTTTGTCTCAGATGAGATTGTTGGAGCGATCATGGATGTAAATTCAGATATGTAAAACAAGTTCATAAAGAAAATGGTGATTCACCGCTGTCTCAAGTCTAGCGAACACTACAATGTAGTTTAATTTGTAACAAATATGTTTCAGTGTTACGCAGTAGAAAAAAATTTCTTACTGATAAAACTAGTTAAGCACTGGAGCAAGTAATTGTGGAATGGAGTCATGTGAGGTTTGGAGGTTATTTTATAAACAACTTCAGAAATTTGGCCTGTTGTGCTATCAGCATTCTTGCAGAAACTGATTTCGTGTAGGGTTATCCAGCAGGGTTGTCCTGGAATTTTTTTTATCGTTCAGATTTGAAGAAAGATCTGAGTGATATAAATAATATTTGCCAAATAATGGTCTCAAGCCAAGTGTTAAATTGGTAGCTTATAACACGTCTCTCTTCGGCACGGAGACATAGCCATATGATTTCTCTTCTGATGAAGATTGGACTTGCATTGATTAGGCAATTACTGCTTTGCGTTTTTTAAGAATTTGACAGATATTTGTAATAACACCTCTTGGCGAATGAACTTCAGCAACATGTTTTCTGTTTACCAACAGAAATTTTTAAAGATGATAATACTCTTCTAGGTATGTTTGGAAATCAAGGCTGTGTTTCACAAGTCAGTATCCTCCAAAGGGAATGCGAACTATTTCTGGTTAATGATGTGTGCTTTATAACAGGTCTTGAAATTTTAAGAAGGTTTTCTCATGGTTGTAAGTCCATTTTTTTTTTTTCTGGTACTCTTGTAAAAGTTCTTTTAGTTATTTTGTAAATGTTACATGAAAATGTGGTATTGAATGTGATTGCTGTACACAAAACCAATTCTTGATGTTAAAAGAAACAACACTCACTGTAATTGCTTTAGACATTGTTTACAAAGAAGTTTTATGACCACAAGAGGATGCTAAAGGTCCTAATAGTATTTTATAGTATGATACAAAAACGGAGAAAAATACAGTTAACATAAAAAGTTACTGACAGGCATAAACATAAATACTTTTTTTCATTATTTTTATCCAAATTTTCAACAGTGCTTAGTTAACAGAAAGATTGTATGTGTGCACAACATGTTTCAAACTTTGCTGCTTTAACAATATATTCTGAAATATTTGAGCATTAGTAATAACTTTTGCTGTCTGTCCTTTCAGATGTCAGGTTCTTTTATGTAATAGAATACTGATTTAAATAGTTTATATTTTTTGGCACGTTTTTATTTGGTTAGAACTGGTGGTGTCAGCAGGAAATATGATCTTACAGGTAAAGTTTGGAAGTAGGAGGACAGGGATTTTGTTTGCAGTTCTGCCACTTCCTCTGCTTAGTTACAGCTTTGTGCCTCTGCTTTTCCACTTGTCATGTTATTCTACTAGTCCTTCTAGTCAACGGCTCAAACTAGTTCAAGTTTATGCAGTGTAGCATATAAGGGCTTTAGAGGCCCTCATATTTATTACAAAAATAAATAGTCCCAATGGTAGACAATTGTTATGTTTATTTGCATTTTTTATTCTGTCTTGTTATACCTCTTGACCTTCTTTCACAAATTTACAAAATTTACAAATTTCACAAATATACCAGATCCAATATTTTCCTTAAAGCATTTTTATTTAGGTACCTAAATAACAGGTCAGGCTTCCTGGAAAAACTTCCCCTGTTGCTCTCAGTTTCATAACTGAGACAGACTTATGTATGTGCAGTGGTTTCTAATTTTAAAACTTGGGCCATTGCTGAAGTTTTTAAAGGCAGGAAAACAGTAGGCATAATATTATGTAAGCCTGTTATCTTGTAGATTTTGAAAGTCTTAAACCAGTAAATAAAACACACTGTTCAGAAGACCGTGTTTACATCTGTCTGTTGTATTTGTGCTGAGGTATTTTTGTTGTAAAATAGTGCGTGTTGAAACTTGTAAGCTGAGATTGCTATATCAGCTTCATCTCTCTCCAGAGCAGAATAAGTTGGGAAATAATTCATAAAATTGGTGGCAAGGGATTGCAGCTAATGGGATTTTTATACCTGTATGTGTCTGTCTATATATAAATAAAAGTATCTGATTTTAGGACAACAAACATATAAACAAAAAGGTCTTCTCAGTTTTGAAATTACAGTGATTAGTTGTTGTACCAGCATCACCCTGATACAAATTCCTGGATGTCTCCAGTTGAAGCAATGTGCCTGTTTTGAAGTATGAGCAGTGTTTCCATGATTTGCTGAAGTTTCTGGGAATCTTACGAACTGATTTACATTCTTTTGTAATGCATCAACAGATACTTGTTTTGATGGCTACATGTGCATTTTGTTGATGCTCGATTTACTGTTTCTCATTCTGCAGAAATACTGGAAAATGTAAGGCTAATACATAAACCAGTGTCTTTGCAACCGAGAGGGCTGATCAACAAAGGAAACTGGTGCTACATCAATGCTGTATCCTTACCTTGGGAAAAATTAATACACTTAAGTTAAAATTTGTATGTTATATCTGTCAAAAGTTTTTCTGGATTATCCTGGTAAGTATTTTGTAAAAGTGTTTTGTCTTGCCCCATTCTACCACTGTAGTTAAATTGTTTAAGGGTAGCATTTAGGAATCGAGGGGTATTTATACACTGATTAAATGCAGTGTCCAGGGTTCCCTGCAGCTGGTTGCACAATTCTGTTTGCAATTTGTCTCTGACTTCTGTCAGGATATTTCAGAACTGTAAATATGTCATGACTAAAAACCTTCTTGTCATTTCTAGTTAAGTTTACTCACGACTCTTTTTGTATCAATGTAAGTTGTTACTTCTGTTTTGTACTTGGAAGTAACTATTCTTACTCTTAGGCTGTTTTGTTGGCAGTTTGGTAAGTGGGTCATTTGGTTTTCTGTCGAGCAGGCTGTTGCTATCATCATCTGTGTAAGTGCAGTAATTAAATTAATCCTTTACAACAGGATGGAAGATTAGCTCACTTTTAATGTTTTAGAACTATATTCCCCTGTAAAAATAATTGTTATCTTGGGTAACAGAAATATTTTTTCACTGCTGTATTATGTTAGTTTTATTAATAATAATTTTTAAATTAATATATCTGTATCTCCTCTGTTAGCAGTGGCCCACTGCAAGTGATGATTAGGATACTGTAACTACTAGTAGGGCTGGTGAAAAAGACTAAGACCAGTTTCAAGACAGATCATTGCAGAACCTAATAACCTATTTTCAGACCAGCGATTGTGCTTTAAACTTCAGCTTTTTAACTTAAATAACCAGTTCTGCATTCATCTGATTGTATGTTATCAGCTCTGATTTTTTTTCAGTCTTAAAATTTGTTACTCAAGTTTTGCACGCTGTAGGGGTCAAGTTAATATATCTCTAGCTGTTGAGATTGCTGCTTTTTTTGTCATTTCCCTGCCCCTCCAGAATCTTTTACTCCGTTCGTTGTTCTCATCAAGTAGCACAGCTTTTAATGTTTTTAAAGTATTTTCTCCCAGCATAGACTGTAGTTGTACTGGTTGTTCTGAACTCTTCTTTACACTGAAGAATGTTTCACATCACGGCAGGTTTTTTGGTTTGGTTAGGGGGGTGAATTGTCACCTTTAACTTGATGTGTTGGCTGACCTCTGTTCTCTTTAGAAAACATGTTGCAGGTTATCACTTGCCAGTTTTCAAATTGTTAATTTTATAGTCTTTCCTACGAAAATTCTTTCCCTCTCCTGCTCCTAGACTGTTTCCTTCCCTTTTAATTAGTTTTTGACATTATTAAAGCATAGGTGAAATTGCTACATGTTACAAGATGCCAGGTTTTTTTAGTGTAACTTCTGTGCATTAGTGGTTAATGTGATAAAAGTCCATCCATCTATTCCAATTTAGTTATTGGATTGGCCTACATAATAAGGAGTCCGCTTTGTTTTTCATATAATTTTAAATATAATTGAATAGTTGGTTAATACACAGATTACATTTTCTGAATATTTCCTTAATGCCACTGCATAGACCCTGCAAGCCTTGGTTGCTTGCCCTCCAATGTATCATTTAATGAAGTCCATTCCAATGTATTCAAAATCACAGCGGCCGTGTACCTCAACACCAATGATAGACAGTTTGTAAGTAGCTTGTTAAAAACAATAAAAATCTGTGATCTGACTTAAGCTCATTCAGAAATACCTAACAAAGGTTTGTTTGCTGCAATTGTTGAAAGCTGATATGTATCCAGAAGTCTTTTTTTAATGTGTGTTTTTGGTGATATATGTCTTTTATAATGAACCTTGGTATTATATAATTGCCAGTCAAGGAAGATACTTCCCATTGCCTGAGGAAAATTCGTTTTAAATAGTGTTTAATATGCAAAAATGAACCATGACAGCTGCAGGAACTAACCTAACACCTCGGTTTCATTAGCAATGATGGGGTTAATTTTTATGTCTGAACTTTACTTAGACTTCATTATGATATTCTTCAGTTTTGGTTTTTTATTGGCAGTCGATAATGACAGTGATCTAATTTTATGATTTGTCCTTCAAAGTCTTAACTTGCTGCTCATGTCTAGTTGTTCCTTCCATTCTGTTTCAGTGTTCGTTTAATGAATGAGTTCACTAATATGCCTGTACCTCCTAAAGCAAAACAAGGTGAGTGGGAATAGGGGGAGAAAAGTCTTAAAACCACAATAAGAAGGCTTTGGGGTAAGGATCTGCCTCGTGTGATGTACTTAAGGACTTTAAATACTAGTGCTCGATTCCCTTCATGGCTCTTTGGACTTCTGGGATTTCTTGATACCATAAGTGTGCTGTGCTTTTCTGTCAGTGTTATGCTTTTCCTTATTAGTGATTCATGTCAATAAATCACAGGTGTTGCATCTTTTTTTTTTCTCTTCTATTTGCTATACCAAGTACAAGTGCAATAAGAATAGTTTTTGTTGAAGGTTAGCTTAATCGTCAAGATGTCTTCTGAGTACTTGCCCTTTCTAACAAAATAATTTGATATTCACTGTATTTTACTCCACTTCCTTCCTTCCATATTTCCAGCTGTTTGTCAACTTGTTCAGTTCTGTCATCCTTAAATACAAAACACTCATTCATTCAGAACAAAATGGGGCCATAGTAGGTGTCTCTAGCAGTTAGAGAGTGCCTGCAGGCATGTTATCATTGCTTTTAATTTCTCCCCATCCTAGGCACTATTTCCATGTGAAAACTTTAAAAGTGTATGATGCTTGCTAATACATATTTAGGATCAACAATGATTTTGTAGCGAGGAATAGAACATTTTTTTGATACAAATAAATTATTTTGTGGCTTTGATTTTTTTTTTTTTTTTTTTTTTTTTAAATCTCTGAATCGGTTGTATTACAAACTTATAGAAATAAAAAAACAGCTTCAGGAATGTGTTTATGTAACATTATAAGAAAATATCATGAGGAGCTGGTTGTTCCAGTGATTTCCAAACAGTTCAGACATTTCTGTGGTTTGCTGCCTAAGTTTTGTTTCTGTAAAACAAATCTTACTGTCTTATGCAACTTATTATACTTCTAGGTCATTTTATTGTATTGTGTAGTTTTCAAATATAGTTTCTGAGGCCTTGTATTTCCATTATGTTGAATATTCAGTCAAACTGTTTCTTGTTTGGTTTTACGGTTTTCATCCTGCAGTGAGGAAAAATGATCTCCTAGAATGACAAATATATAAAAGATTTAAGGAAGTGTTCTTTGAATACCAAAGAAGTACAGAAATTTAAATAGAATTGTTCTTTTATGATGGCTATGGATATTCTTGTTATGCTTCAGAGTGCTGACTATAAAAAGTACTTACTTTTCCAGACCAATCTGTAAGTCTGTGTAGGACGACACAAGATGTTTGGAAAAAAAGTTTATGGGTAGAAGAGTTGTATCTTATGAATTCTGAGCTTGAGTCACTAAAATTGTAACAAAACTATTAATAAAAATTAATTTTGGATTCCAAAATCCTAGTGATGTGTGAAGAGAATGTTAAGGTATGGTGTAGAAAAGCTTCTATATGTTGTAATTATATGTACTTATCTCTTACCTTGCAGCTTTAGGTGATAAAATTGTGAGAGACATCCGACCAGGAGCTGCCTTTGAACCTACATACATTTATAGACTTTTGACGGTTATAAAGTCAAGTCTGTCAGAAAAGGTGTGACTTACAAATCTTTGACTTTTATAATTGCATTGCAAGGCATTCGCTGTCGTTAATGTAAAGCCATACATAAGGTTTTGTGCCTAAATACCACTAAAATCAGCCAGTTGATAGCTCATTATAATGAAGCTCGATGGTCTTGGGACTTGTAATTAACATCTCTCTATAAGTTTGGCAGTTTGATATGTCAGAATAATGGAAAAATTACAATTGGAATGGAACATCTCTTTATAAAAAGATACCTACTGATTTATATTTAAGTAGTAAGCAGTTGTTCATTTCTGCTTGGGATTCAGCTTGGAATGGTCGAAGGTTGTCCACTGATACTTCAAAATCCTATTTCAAGTTTAGTTTCAGTTTAAAGAAAAGAGAATTATTCAAACCATTGATTTGGCTGTGCTCTAACAGCAACTTTTGATACTACTTTTAAAAGAAATAGCAAAAAAAAAAAAACCCTAACTCACATGATAAATCAGATTTGTATTGAGAAGAATGCAGAAATGCTTGTGTCTAGGTAAAGCTTGTGTGTGTACTTGCTGCTTACAGCAGGTTATCAATGTGTTGGTTCTTTTTGAACTGGTTAAAAATGAGGTGTTGTTAGAGTAAAGTTTAAACTTTATTTACCTTTAGAACTCAGAGTAGTTGGCAAATTAGTTAATAGAAAAAAGCTACATGTTCAGTACCATAAACTTCTGATAAAATGAAAATAGGAAAGTGTCATATAATAATTGAAAAAAACTTAATTTATTCAGGGCAGGCAAGAGGATGCTGAAGAATACTTGGGATTTATTCTTAATGGACTACATGAAGAAATGCTGACCCTAAAGAAACTTCTCTCTCCACATAATGAAAGTTGGTGGATTTTTAAATTTTTGGTAGCAAACTTAATTTCTTTCAAATATTCTCCTTTTCTTGTGGTGATTCTGTAATACAGAGTAACGTTCGGAGTAATTTTGAGGTAGACTTAGAATGCCATCTTTTAAACAAATTTTTAACAAATAATCTTGTGTTAAAATCTATCCAAAGGTTAAAATTAGTCAATTCTGTCCAGTTTACAAAGGATCTGAAGTGTTACTGGGTATTTGGAAAAGCATTATCATTCTGTAAATACTCTGAATGACAGTAATAATGTCATATACCCGGTCCTCCTAAACAACAAATTTCTGTGTTACAAATTTTTATTGAGCTCAATTTGAGCATTATTTCAGGCTAACTCAAGCTGGCTAGTCTTGTCTTAAGCATAGGTATGTTTGCCTGCCATTTATAATACCTGCAAGGTCACTTGTTTACTGGGGTTTTGGCTCTCCCCATGGTAGTTCAGAAATACATCAGTGTTTTTTTTCACTGATCTTTAAACCACTATTAAGACATTTTTTTTTTTTTAAGTGGAAACTTCTAGGCTAATGGCTAATTTATATCTAATATAAACCAGAACACACTAAATAATTTTAAAATGTGTATTGACAAAGTTAGACAAAAATTTTATTGGGATGAAGTATTAGAATTTGTATGCAGAGTAAATGTGACTTTATTTTACAGTAGCTTTGTTTGGGCCCCCTATTAAAAATTAAACAAAACACTGTTAGTCTTAGCCAAGTATAGATTTAAGATCACTAGTTATCAGATTTCTCTTTAGTAGGGTAAATTTTTTATGATATAGTGATCATTCCATATTTTGTTCTTGAGTTGTGTGCAGTTCATGGCCTCATGACTGGCAAAGAAAATATTTGCTAAGCCTTGGGTTCCCTGTAAAATAACTGTGCAGAAAAGGAGTTGTTTTTAATAATGGCATAATTATGTTTCCAGAATAACGCTTGACTTTCTAATTTTCTACCCCATAAATTTACTACTAAAAATATATCAAACTTTACTAGAAAACTACATCTGTTTACATACAGTCATCAGCTGCATTCTGTTAATACATGGATGTGTCCAACTATGAGTGAGCCTGGAGTATACTTTTTCTCATTTACTTTCTCAAATCTACGATCTATGAAAACATTTAATCCTCTGAAAATTATTTGTATAGGGTTTTTTGCTTTTCAAGTTCTTCATCTGTGTTTCATTTGTAAAATAAATCAATGCTTTTTTTTTTTTTCCTTCACTTTAAGAACTCTCTGTTTCCAATGGCCCCGAGGCTCAGACTGTTCATGAAGAAGAGGAGCAAGATGAACAAGGGGAAGGCAGTGAGGATGAATGGGAGCAAGTGGGACCTCGCAACAAATCATCAGTCACTCGACAGGCAGACTTTGTTCAGACTCCAATTACTGATATTTTTGGTGGTCATATAAGGTATAGTACTTTTCTGTAAAAGTTCCTGAGACCGTAGGCTGCTTTACCTTTATGGATAACTTTTTCCTCTGCCATTTTTGGATAGTTGGACGGAAGAGGCTGTTACACAGTTTGTTCAGGACAGGACAGGTGAACATTCTGCCATGAAGCATTTGTTATGCAAGAGAGAGTTCAGAAGATGGACTGGAATGATCTAGGGATTGATCAGTGATCAGATGATTCCATGACTTCTTGTGGAGTCTGAATCTTTTTAAACATCTTAAAAGAATAGACTGTTTAGAGAACAAAAGCCCTGAATTGCATACAGAGGAAGAGTTTGAAATATGTATGCTTTGTGTATTAATGTCTGAAGAATTCCAAATAACGTTAGAACTACCTATTTTTGTGACCTCTGAGCACTCTTGACTCATTTTGTAAATAAGGATGCTAAGGGATGGTGAGATTTTTGAAGAGTTAGATCTGGTCAGTAGAAGAATGAAATAACAAATTGTAAACTTTTTGTTATTTAGACACTTAAGCTTCCCAGAGGCAGGAAAGGTATGTATAATAGTTAATAAAGGTTAAAGGCAACAGAAGTTTGGAAAATGTAAGTTACTACAAGATGTTACAGGAATGAAGAGAATGTGAGATGTTACTTACATTCAGGTCTGATACCAGATGAAGGCAGAAAGTAGATCCTGAAAGAATATTTTTTGGAAAAGGAAGCCTCATGGCTTGTTTGGAGAAATGTGTAATTTAAAATGAAAGCAAGGTAAACACTTGCTAAAAACATATTCCAAAACAAAAATGTTAGACTTGAAGGATTATTTTTAAATTGGAGACAGACACTTAATTGCTAGTGTTTGACTGCCTGTGTTGCCAGGTATTCAGTCTAGAGGTGTGAATAATGTGGGCTAGTGCCTTCTGCCTGTGAAATGCACTGAAATTACTCTTCTGGGATTTGAGTCAGACAGCTGGCAAATAAAATGATGTTTTCCATAGAAATCGTCAGACATGTTTGTACGTATTGATGAAATTCTTGTGTTGATGGTGTGTTCGTGTCCGCAAGGTATTGTTAATGCCCCTAGTACGTTTATTGGGGTCAGAATTGTTTAGTCCTCTGCATGATTCCATTATTTTTAAAATTAAAAATACCAAGAGAATATCTTATGTGGAAGTCCACAGAAAATGACATAAAGCAAAGGTAATACTGAAAAAAGGCAAAAATGTGTGCTGAGCAGCAGAACCACAGAGTCCAATCCAACATCTGTTGTCGCCACACCCACTTCATTCAGCCTCCAAACCAGGTCACACAATTTACCACAGAAACAGTATCCCATGTTGTGATGTTGGAAAGCTCCATCCTCCGAGGGTGGAGGTAGGAAGGATTGAATACAGAATTGCTAGTAGAATTCCACTAAGTGAAAGCATCAGAAATTGGAAAAATCAAATGGAAAAAGCAGCTAGGAAAACGTGGTTTGAATTGTCATCTTTTGGCTTGGGAAACTTCAGGCTATCCTCTCAAGGCTTTAATTGTTTATTAAATGCCTCTTTAGGCATAATTGCTTTAAAAAAAAAAAACCAACCCCAAAACACACCACCAAAAAGTCCTCCTTAAGTAATGTGAGACATTAGTACAAAGATACACAGTTCTCTTAGGACCTGGTTTGTTCATGTGCAGGAGTCCCTTTTGACTTTCAGCTTGTGTGGATTTCAGATATTTGTTATGCAAGCTAGCTCACAAGCCAGTTAGAAGTCAGCTAAATATTTCTGTAAGTAGTACCGACTTTTCCCTTCAAAGACACTGTTATTTTAAAAGAAAATACATCAATTACATTGTTGTAGTTTAAGCAGGGTAGCAGTGGGCAGTGCCCATTTTCCTGAAAAATTCTTACTGTAGAGTAAGAAAGTTAGAGTTACAGGACCCAGGAGTAATTATTCATTGATGATGCATTTTTCCCTTAACCAATTGAAATGTGTAATTATTCTACAAAGTGATACTGGTCTAGAAAATGATAGTCCAGCAAAGGTTTTGCTATCAAACCAATTTAAGCATATCTTTTTTGAAGAAAATGTTTTGGAGAAATGTTACAGTTTAATTTCTAATAATTAAAAAAATCCCTAAGGTTATCTTTTCAGAATATAATCGGTATTATTAAATAAATCTTTAATATTTGGACTTGAAGATGGGTGGAATTGTTAGCATTTTTCTGTTGATTATTGCACTAAATAATGGTCAGCTTAAAGAGGGTTTGGGAAGTGGATCCAAAAGCAGCAAGACTTACACAGTGAAGGGTTTGTTTGTTCAAACACTACGCCTGCCATGTGTTGAAGGTTTTGTCCTTAAATATAGCCAAAGAGGAAGTGTTAAACTGAAATAAAGATGCTACTGTTTTTCATATGCTCTACTTCCTCTAAAGGATATATATTTGCCAATATAAAGTTGCATTGGCTTTCTGTTGGTGCTTCAGGGCTTTGCCTGAATCAAAGGAACTCTTTTGATAGGAGCTTGCAGTGCAGGCGTTAAACCTGTCGTTGGCATTTTGTACATGACCCAGAGAAATTTCAGCATGGCTATGTGGATTTCTCGTGTTAATTACTTTACTAATTTCAAGCTTTGTAAGGCACTGCAACAAGCAGCAATATAATAAATGGATTATTTCTTCGGCTGTATAAATGCACGTTTTTGTAGAGCCTAGAGCATTTTAACATAAATACTGCTTTCAGAACAAAAAAAAAAAAATTCTTGTGCCATGTTTGATGGTTTTAAGTTTTCAGCAAAGTTTAAGAAAAATGAAAATCAGGAAGAGTCCTCTTAGTGCAGTGACGCTGTGGCTGAAGATTTTACTGTCTCATTGCACAAAACAATGATCACCAAGCCTAGCTACTTAAAGTCTGCAACTGAATCCACTTCAAACAAAAATAAAAGTAAAACCAGGAAGCATGTTCTCATGCCCTAGGTCATTACTCCTGCCAGTTTTCTGAAAGACTCCAATTTATGTACAAAGGAGTACATGGACAAAGTCTGGACACAGAAAATGATGGGAGGAAAAGGAAATGCCAGTCTTCGATGGAGCAGAGTTTGTATTTCCTATGGCAAGATTTAAGCAAACAGTTTAAAATCACAGTGAAATTGGTCTTGGTGAAGTGACTAAAAAAATCGGTGTATTTTGATTGGGGAATCTGGAATCAGTTGTAACTTTTACAGTCGAACATACAGTTAGATAAGCACTAGTATTTTGCACTTATGAAGATCTTTTGGAAAACATAATTTCAAAACTCTAATACAAAAAGAGTCCGGAGGTGAATCTTTAAATGCATTATCAAAAGTTTCAGTATTTTTCTTTAAACTTCTGATGCTTATCCAATAACTGTTTTAATCCCTGCATAAATAAAATAAATATAATCTCATTCGGTATGCTCTAAGTGGGTGTGAAAATAATTTAAATTGCAGTAAAGTGAGTGCAAATTGTTGAAATTTATGCCTAACCTTTGTGTTTGTGTTGTTTTGGATTAACTATAGATCAAGTTACTAAAGTAGACTTCAGTCCTTTCTTATTTGGAGGTTCTGAATTGCTGAAAATCACTCTGCTTTTATTACATTTTAACTTCTGTGTTTCCATAGATCTGTTGTTTACCAGCAGAGTTCTAAGGAGTCTGCTACACTGCAACCTTTCTTCACCCTGCAACTGGATATCCAGTCAGACAAGATACGCACAGTTCAGGATGCGCTGGAAAGTTTGGTGGCAAGAGAGTCTGTCCAGGGTTATACCACAAAAACCAAACAAGAGGTGTGTTCTGTTGACCCCTTTTTACAGTCAAATACTAAACTTTTTAAAAGGGGTTTTATACAGCTTTTGCTTTACAAATAGTTACTTGAATATTATTGCTTATGTTAACAAGAGATGTACTAACCTTTTCAAAGTGTCCTGCAGCAGAAAACATACTACACTTGAACACATACACTGAAAGGAAGAGAACTAACTCTTAAAAACATGTCTGTAAATATTTGCTTTCTGAGTTGGTGTAGTAATTGGTTAGAGATTTTACTGGAGCGTATATTAAATGAACAGGATGAGCTGTGGTAATAATACATACTATTACAAGTAAAATACATTTTAGCAGGTTCTCTGTCAATTTAAATGCAGGGACATTTTACTCTGTATTCTCATGCAGCTCTACCACTATTTTTATCTTATTTTTCAAATAACACAATACCTAATAGTAATAAATGCAATAGAAAAATATAGGAAGAAAAGCATGCTTTTGGCATTATGGTTTGAGAACTTGTGATATAGGGTAATAAATTAAACGTTTTCCACACTAAGGTATTGGGTTGCTTGTCATGGTGTGCACTGGTAAAGAACATCATCTCTGGTGTGCATGGATTGCTCAGGTGGCAAATTTGTGTACAGTGTTCATAACTCCTTTCAGTAGGCCAGGATGGAAAGAGGCTCTTGAGCTGTAGGTGTTCTCTCAGACATTCATTTCTGTATCTGTAAGGTTTTTAAATACACCCAAATGAGATTATGGTTAGATAAAGAAAGGATGGACCTTTTTCTTTGAAAAGCTAAAGGTAGATAGCTGAAATTTGTCTGCCTTGTATAGCCACTAGGAATGTTAGAGAACATTTATTTCTCCAGTTGTCTTCCATATGAAAGAAACATCTGCAGTGCAAGCTCATCAGGATTTACCACATAGATTTTGTTTTGCTAGTCATTCATTTTTTGGGTTTTACTGCAGATGGTTTTAACTTCTTCACCGACAACCCAGTGTTCAGTTACGGGGTTTGGAAGAAATGAGTGTTCAGATGAGGTGCTGGAGGTTTGGTCTGGCTTCTATTTCAGAGTCTGAATAGAAATACGAGCATTCACAGTGTCCTTTAGATTTTTTTTTCAAAAGAAATTCACATTGAAATAGCTGTTCTTGTATTAAAATTGTAGTGAAAACACTGAACGCGCTGACTGTAGAACAAGTGTAGGACTTTGCAGATAGTAATTTTCAAAATGCATTGCAAAGAACTGTTTCATCTCCATTTTGTATAATAATTAAAAATTATTACGGTCTTCTGATTGTTTTAATCTGGATTTGTATTGTTTACAAGTTGTGAGCATAAACAGGACAAAAATAATCTTCCAAATATATGTGAATGATTTCTCGGAAAGTTTCTTTACTTTGAGCTGATTTTGACTTTTATGTGTGTATTAATGTAAGCAGGATATCAGTCAGATTTTCATGCAGTGTTTAAAATAATTAGGCATTTAAAATTAAAATAGCTGTTTAAAATGGACTGGCATTTTCTTGCTGTGTCTGACTCAAATTCACTTTCTCCCTAGCATTTTGAAAAAAGTTGGTTTGGTTCCTTCTGGTCTTGCGTATCAGTTTGTTAAATCTTGAATATTTCAACAGTCAATATATTTTTTTAAAGGGCTTAATTTCTGTTGTCACAAAAATGATTTTCTTTTCAGTCTCTTGTTCCTGTTTGCAGACCTGCTCATGTTTTCTGGCAGAAGTGGACTCTGAGTAACAAACTAGCCTGACCTCATTTACCTTCCACATACTCCTTAGGGGGAGTCTTCACATCCCCTGGAGTTCTCAAACTGCTCCTTGAGGATCCTCCAAGTATTTTCTTTGGACTGTGACTCATGTTCACCAAACAAACATTTGTGGCACTTTTAGGTGGTAATGTTGCTGCCAGAAATCAGGGCCCCTTCGCACAGGACAGCAGAACATGTGCTTATTCCTCAGCTGCTGCTCTTCAGCCTGGCACTGTAACACAGAACTGCTTTGATCTGTGGTTTAGTTTAAGCAAACAGGGAGCCGTGCAGCTGAGATGCCAGCATAGGGACCACTACGCCAGCTCGGTTACTGAGGGTGGGGAATGGCAACTGCTTAAACCGCTCTGGTTATGTTCTTCAGCATCCTCTATTGCTGGGCTGGGAGCTGTTAACATAACAGAACTCTGAATTCAGAGACTTCAGATTGGAGATTTAGAAGGCTCAATAGAGGAAAATCTTGAGATAGTAACGGGTGAATCAAGTATATATATTTTTTTTCCCTATATAAAGCCTTTCTGGATTTGCTCCCTAAAAGCAGCAGCTGTTCCGTGGTAAGATGCACGGAAGATCCATGCTCTCATGAGTTCATGGGAGAATTGTGTGATCCTTGTGCCGTCACCTTTACTTTCAGGGTTTGCCTTTTAACTTCTTATTCCACATCTTTCTTCCTGGAAATCCTGCACCAGCAGGCACTTGTTGAATGGAAAAGAACAGAGTCCTGTTTGGCTTGCTGGTTTTAAGGAAAAAACACCAAAACTCCCACTGAAAACTCCTCTCGGTACTCAGTGAAGCTGCTGCTGTTGCCAGGGCTTTGATGGGTTTTGGATACAGAAGGGGCATATTTTGAACCCTTGAGATGCAGGTGAAATTTTACATAGTTTTAGAGATTGCTTCTGCTTTAAATGTAGAATTACTTCTTGTAAATTGGATCAGCTCAGATCCATGAGGAAATCAAGTACCCTCAAAATCTGCTTGCTTCAGCCTCCTAAGAGTTTTTACTTTTCAAGCTTGGAAAGAGGTAATAGCTTTTCCCAATGAATTTCTATTCCACGCTTAGGAGGTTCCAGCAGAATCAGGCCCTGTGTTGGAAAAAAAAAATGCTGATGATTTACAATAAAAGAGTTTTTTCTCAATAAAAAAATTCAGAAAAACCTAAAGCAGTTATTTGGAGAAATGTTTTTATGTCATAATTTCTAGGAAGCCAAAAAACATCTTTTTGTCTGCAATTCTGAGTTCAGTTTCAGGTTTTCAGGCAGTAACTTTGCAGATTGGTTTATAATTATATAAAAATCAATATTTGGTAGGAAACGGGTTATAACTCATGTTTTTCTCTTTGAATTTTCTTCGGAACCTTTTAAAGAGCCCACCATATGTTTTTAGAAAGAAAAATCTTTAATTACCAAACTCTCCCATAAAACAGCTTGTCATGATGACAAGCCTACATAGCAGCTCACTTCGGGTTTTTTGAGGAACAACTTCTATGACAAATATTTTCTAGTTCATGCAAGAAGATTTTTGAACAGTAGCAATACTGATCTCTTTAATATATTAATGATTATTATCCTCTCTTTGAATAGGTTTGCATTTTAATGATACCATTGTGAGAAGGTGTTTCTCAACAGGTTTTTTTAGGATTCTTTTTGGTGAGCAGGGGGGGAATAAAAATAGCACCAGTTAAAACTGGAGATGTCTGATGTAGAAACTGGTATTTCGGTTGGGAATTAGGAGGTATGCTTGGGACACTCTTGAAAGCAACACAGCATTCCCATTTTTTTAGCCAAGTAGTTGCAATACTGCTTTTGCAGTTCAATCAGGATTTCTGGAGCGTTCAATGAAATTTCTCAAGATAAATGTAGGTTTAGGTGTTTACACCAAAATCTTTTATTTTACTAGTTTGCCTCTGTTTTATACGGATTCCTTTTTGCTTATAATTAATTTACCGATTGAAGATTTTGAAGTGATTTGAATTAGTTCTTATTTTTCCTTCTATTCAGCTTTTTTTGTAAATATATGTCTGCTTTTAGAAATGAAAACTTTTGCCTCAGGTATTGAGGTGTGTGCTGTTGTCTTCTACAGTTCAGAGTTCTCTGAATTCAGCAACGTGCGTTACAAGTTATTGACCTTTGTTTAGAGTGTAATAGCTTGCTAAGAATTGATTAATCACTAAACTGTCATGAGTAGTTTCTCCTGGGAGATCTCCAGCAAGCTGGTTTTAGTACCGCAGTACCTAAATATCTGCTCATTCTAACACGTTACATTCTACTAGAAGATATTGAGGTTCTCCTTTAAGACAGTGTTTTGCTTGAAGATCTCATGTGCTTTGTCATAAATTGCAGTTTTTATATAATACTAATTTTTAAAATATGTATTCTGATAGGGTATTTAAAATGAAATACTCCCCTTTTAAATGAATAATTTTGAGCAGCTAATAAAAAATTAGAGTTTTTCTTCATCTTTGTTCTATGTATGTTTTAGGTGGAGATCAGTCGAAGAGTGACACTAGAAGAACTCCCCCCTGTTCTTGTTTTACACCTCAAGCGGTTTGTATATGAGAAGACTGGTGGATGTCAGAAACTTATCAAGAATATCGAGTATCCTGTTGATCTGGAAATTAGTAAAGGTAAAGATTTTAGAATTTTCCCTTCTTTAGAGAAAAGATAATGTTGTGTTTCCTAGCAGTATCTGTGCACCAGACTTTTCCAGTGTCATCTGGAAACTTAGTAATTTGGATAAGTATCTTGTATGCATTTTTTTTTTTTCCTCCTTCATAAAAAGAATTTGGTTTCTGGCTTCAGTCTGGCTGAACCTGACATTGCTTGTATGTGAGTTTGGGCATCCATTTTGCAAAGATCATTATGGCAATTGGCACATCCTAGACATGGGGCTGGCCAAGTAAGAGCCTCCTGCACATTTAAGGACTAAGGTTATAGACTGCTGAGGACAGATAACTGGAAGTGATCCTGTTGAATGAGGGGTATGTCCCTCTACAAGGTTGTTGCCAAGTAATGCTAGATGTTTTTATCTCAAGACTTCATGCAGACAAGTAGCAAATTATTGTTACAAGCAATGGCTGATGAAAGGAAACCCTTTCATAGAAAATGCAGCTTGAAGGCAGACAAGTAAGATGTAGGTCAGAGGTTAAACAGCAAAGTTGTTTCTTTTAACAGATACCGATTTTACAAAGGGTGAAAACTTTCATATAATCCAGCATCTGAGGCTTGCCAAATTAAACACATTTTGTTTTGATCTGATAAACTGACCGTTAGCCAGCCAGTAGTTCAAATGGGAAAAAATAAATAAAAATAATGATTACTTGTGTCTCAGATGAAATACATACTTTGTCAGACAGTACACCTTTATTTTACTTAGTATTTGATTTTAAATATTCTTAAGAACGGATATTTGTAGAACTAGTTCAGTTTGCTTTGACTGACAAAGCTGGTTGTAGTATGACATGGAATCTGATACTGATTTTTGTCACTGACAGTGGGATGCAAGGAAGAGAAATAAGTAATCTGATCTTCTTCCTCTTTTTTTTTTTTTTTCTTCTTCAGTTTTTTTTTTTTTTTTGTGGTAGTTTTAAATCTTCCGTAAATGTTAATGTCAGCAAACCCAAGTATGAGAACCATGACCATTCTCTAAAGGCTGCAGAAGACATTTGAATTAAATTATGATAGTGTTGGTTTCTCTTAGAAATAATTGATCCCTTTGAAATTGAATTTCTAAATTTGCTAACTGTTGCTTTTGTGACTTTTTTTCCCTCCTCCAGAGCTACTATCTCCTGGTGTGAAAAGTAAAATTTTTAAAGGCCAAAGAACCTACCGGCTCTTTGCAGGTATTTTATCTAGATGCCTCTAGTTCCTGTATTACAAATACAAATTCTGCATATTGAATTCTAGAAACACTGGAGTTTCCTGGATTATATAAAATACTTTTCTTTAAAATTACACTGCAGTAACTTGTGGGTGTCAGATTTTTGTATTTAGTGATTTCTTGCATATGTGTATGTATACATACATTGCTATATCTTGATATATTTGATCCAGCTTGAAGCTAGAGCAAAACCAGAGTTCTGTAACAGATCCACACTGAAGCTGCACTACAGCTGTAATATAACTATGCCTAAAATACACCATATATTCTCAGAATAATGTCTCAAATGTCTTTTGAGATGGCTGCTTGCTGGCTTTGCATCCCTTTGAACCCTCAAGATGAGCATTGGCTGGCAGGGTATGAATAACATATTGTAGGTGGAAAAGTTTGACTTGGAGGAGATGATGATCTGTGTGTGAGGAAATGATGTTTGTAAGAGTGTCTGTGATGTATACAAACCACCGAAATAGCTAGTTAAGATTGGAAGCTCATGTAAGAATTCAGAAGCAGCATTTTAATATTGAACAAAACAGTGTCTGGGCAGTAATGAACTTCCTGAAGTTTAAAATCTCCTACACAGTTTACGATTTGCACCTGCTTATTTGTGTTGGTGTTAGGAGAACATCATAAACTGGAGGGCTGGAGATCTTAACTTCTCCGTCACCAAATCTCTGCCAGTACTGGTGGCCTTGTGTGACTTGGTGGTTTGGATCTGGTTTTGTAACCACTGAGGTTACAGAAGGAAATAACATACCTGTCTCTTGTGGAACTTCAGGACTGTTTCTGGCAGTGTACATTTTTTTTTTTAATTGATAGTGGTTTTCATGGGACAAGTTTAGACAGTGTATTTAAGGTGGCTTGAGAAAAATGTATTACAGCTGTAATTTTTTTCAACTCCTACAGAAAAGTACAATACTTCAGTCTTCTGTCGGTCTAGGACTTCTCATCCACAGAAACTGAGCTTGTTAGATGAACTCTGAATTACTATATATAGGTCTGCTCTTGTGTCAAATAAGGCAATTCCTTCTGTTTTCCATTTGTTCTTGTTAAATATATGGTTAGGACTCAAATATTCCTAGAAGGAGCTAAATGCAATTTCTTACATACATCCTTAGCATTAGATACATGAAATATCTCTTCCGTTTAGGGGCGGTTGTCACACCGAGCACTGAGAGCTCAGCATTAAGCTTTGGGTTTGGTTTCTGCAAGGAGAGCTGAGATGTCTCTTCCTGCTGAGATGACTGAGGGAAGAAGCCAGTTGGATTCTCTCTTGGAAGTAGCAGGATTAACAGTCAATCAGAAGTTCACAATTCTGAGGATTTTTATTCACTAATAAATTTTATTCACTAATAAATGTGGAACTTGTAGATTGGTACTTCCATAGAACCTTTTTTTCAGAATAAAATGATAGTTAAGACAAAATGAAAACAACGGTCACAGGTTACAGGGGGAATATTTGTAATCAATACAGTCTGAAAAGTTTTGCCTAAGCTTTTTTTTTTTAAAATAAACTATAGTTTTACCTCTTTTTTTTTTTAATAGTTTCAGTAAAATACAGTTGTCATCAGCAGAGCAGATGTAGGTTAGAGTATCTCGCTAAGCATGGCCGTACTGTTGGAAGCTCTGAAGGACGTGCTGCACCATTGCAGATGGCCTTAGCGAGGCAAATCCTTCCCAGAAGATCCTCTATGAAGTACAAAAAGCAGTTTTGATTATTAATTTACTTAAGCCTCCTTTTAGACTCATGAGGTTTTGTATGCTGGAGAAACATTACTAATTTTACATAGCAAGCAAACACCCAGTGCCTAAAGATTCTTGCTTAAGCCTGATCACATGATCTGGCTTAACCATGGGTACGCTATGAAGAAAGCAATACGAGACATTTTTTTTCTTTATTTACTTTTCCAGTGGATATTGATCTGTGAATAGTGTGTATGCGCATCATGACTTTCTCTTTGCAGTTGTCTATCATCATGGAAACAGCGCAACTGGTGGCCACTACACTACGGACGTCTTCCAAATTGGTCTGAACGGCTGGTTACGCATCGATGACCAGGCTGTCAAAGTGATCAACCAGTACCAGGTGGTGAAGCCGTCTGCAGAACGCACAGCCTACCTCCTGTACTACCGCCGAGTTGACCTGCTGTGAAACTTTCCCCTTTTACGCTGTGTGTGCAAGATACCTGCTTTGTAGAACGCCAACTATCACTAACTTTCTTCTCCTGTAAATGCTCTTTTGAGTGAATCTTTTTTTTTTCTTTTTTCTTTTTTTCTTTTTTTTTTTTTTTTCCCTTGCAACTATGGGATAGAGTGATAAAGGAAACTACCTTGGGTTTGTGCACAACATAGTTTGTGTTGACTTTTGACATTGCAGAATGAAGTCACTTGGTTGAAAAAGACTGTCTCATGAATCACAAAAATACAAAAAAAAAATAAAAAATCTGAGTTAATGCTGAATCCTAAGATAATAAAAGGGGATTTGCATTTGATTCCCACTTTCTAATTGCATAGTAGAAGAAAACCCTGCACCAGCAACAGAACTTGTAGATTTCTGTGAAAATGTTTTATCTTTACTTAAGTAAAAAAATAAAAAAATTAAAAAAAATAAAAAGCGCTCTCTGCTTCCCCAATAGTTTTTGATAAGTGGTAAAATATGAGCCGATGTGTATGAGATGGAAATGGTCCTATGTGCTTCAAAAAATGTACAAACGTACAAAACGCAGAGTTGCTGGTTCCTAATAGGAAGACACATTTTAATAATTGTGCGATGAGAAACTGCTTAAGTACACATTGCAGATCAAATACTTGGAGTTAAGATGTTAGTCTATATAGATGGGTGATTGTAACTTTATTGCTATTAAGAAATCTCAAGCCGCATTTATGCTTCTGTGTACATGAAATTTAAAAAAAAATGGGCAAAATAATTAAGATTGATATTTCTTTAAGTCTGCTTTGTTTAATTTTGCTGTCTGCTCTCCTATAATGTTGAGTTCCTAATTGTACACAGTTTAGTGATATCTAGAAGTATAAAGTTGTCGCCCATCAATAAAAGTCACAAAGTTGGTTTAAGGTGTGTGTGTGGGTTTTGTTTTCCCTCCAGTGTAAACTCTACCCTTGGAAACTCATAAAATTACTGTGCAGCACTTTGGCAAGGTGTAGATAGAATTTCCCAGATGATGGGCAGATGATTTTTTTTTTTTTTTAGTATTTCTTGAAACTTCAGAAGTGTTCCCATTTGGTGTTGAAATGGAAGTGAGCTTTGAGGGGAGAGGGAAAGGGCCCGCACCTGGGCTGTGGCAGTCCTTCGGGTGAGCACCCATCAGCCGGAAAGGGGAGTCTGCACGGTTGTTCTTTGAGGTGGATGATGTTTAGTTTGCCTTTGAAACGTTCCCTTTAGCAGGTTGACATTTTCATTGAAAACTTTGGTAAAATATTTCCTTGATCAGCTTCTTGTTGCCTTCCCTGCTGGTGAAGATGGTAAAAAAACCAAAAACCCTATTAGTTTAATCCCTAATTTGATGGTAGTGGTGCTATGTGCTTATTGCATCATTGGAGAAGTGTTAGAAAAACAGAGCTAATTTTAGCACAGAGTGTCAGTAAAAGGTTAAACTGCCTGTACCGTGACCAAATACTGGTCGTTGTTTAAAGATGACAGGGGGGAAAAAAAAAAAAGTTTTTCTCTGCAGAGCTGTCGAAATAGTTAGCTGCATTAATTTTACAGGTACCATGTTGCAATAAATTCCTTTAGAATTTCTTTAAACTGCTTATTTCATTTTACTATGAGCATCTGTCCAGGTGTTTGGTGAAAAACGGTGTTAGCTTTTTCAAGAGAAGGAAGTAGCCCTGTAAATGCCTCGAGTTTCTGCACGTGCCCGCTGGATGCGCAGCTCCTCTGGCGGAAACAAAATCCCTGCGACTCGCCCGGGTGTTGGATGAGCAGTAAGACCTGTTGCAGAAAGTCCTCCTGGTTTGCCCTCTTGGCTTTTCTACCCTCTCATCAGATGGCGGAGAACTTGGCCCTCTCCTGCTCTGAATTGCTCCTGGTGATGCTGTTGCCGTGTCAGGAGTGAGTGTGCTGCTGGGGTGAGGCTGTTTGTGGTGGTCCTGCATTTCCTCCTCAATCTTGGGTAATCTTCAGATGGATGATCTTCTGTTTCCTTCTTGAATTACAAGGCAGCGTTGACTATATCACTACCAAGTCCTGATGCTGAGAAAATGTTTGTCTTTTGTCAGTTGTTTGGATATCTAAATGTATAGTTACTTTTTCAGTGAGCAGCAAACTTTATTTTCTGCTCTGAAAAATTGTGACTGAGACGCTGTTCTCGATTTTTTTGGTGACTTTCCACCAACTCCTAAACAATTTTCTATCCAAAACTTGTTTTGATTTTGGCCAGTTGCAGGGAAAGCTGCTGGCTGGGCAGGGTGCCCTGGAGCTGGGGCTACCCAGACGATGTGCTGGGGGCTGCCGAAGGGCCGGGGCTTCCAGCATTTCCCAATGCCGGGCTGCCCACGCTGGGAATTACCCCAGAGCCAGTGCTGCTGAGACACTGGTTTTGCTTTGACATTGAAATCTGGAGGGTGCGGGGGTTGTTCCAAATAAGAAAGCAGCAGATTTTGAAATTACTGTTCTGTACTGGTTATTATTCATGTCCTGTTTCTGCATCCTGGTTGAAGTAATTTTCTGTACTGCAGAAATCTTTTTTTTTTTTTTTTTTTTTTTTTTTTTTTTTTTTTTCCCCTTTTGTGGCTGTGTTGAGTGTTTACCTGTACTTCCAGTGGATTGTGAAAAGGTGTCTTGCTGGTAGTGTAGTCTTAACCATAAAACTGCAGGTGATCAGCAATCAGTATGTTACTTTATACTGGAGCCTTGTGATGAACTTTGGTTTTGACTGGACAAGTTGGTTGGCTGGTGAGTTTTGGGCCATGTTACTCAAAAATTACGACTTTGAGTTTGCAGCAGGACATTATATTTAGTAGAAACAAAGTGGACCCCTTGTTGGTCTACTGTTGCACTAATGGCGAGGGATTTCACCTATTTACAGGTGCCTTAACCAGTTGTGGATGGGTTTATAATACAGGTTTATTTAAAAACACAAGTCTAATACGATAATTTTATTTTGGGGGATGGTTGCTGTTTGCAAGCAGCCCTGCAAGGCTTTCCTAGGGCTTGGGAATGTGCAGTGAGATGAAGTTTTAACTTTTTTTGCTATCTGAAGTCTTGCATTTTGTTATCTTTTTGGAAAGGAAGCACTGTGTTAGTCCTGTCTTCCTGGGAATACCAAAACGAGTTGTCTTGGTTATGGCTGGCACGTCACCTTCAGAAATGACAGTGTTCCACCCTCCTGTGATGGGCAGTTTTGAGTGGAGTCCAGCACAGCAGAAACAGCTTAAGAAGGGTAAAGTGAAGAAGAGAGGAGGAGAGGAAGAAATAAGGAGTAGGATGAAGAAGAAAGAACTGGTGTACAATTAATGAGATTTTAGTATTCTTTCATTTAGCTCTGCTTGTGCTTCTGCTGAGGTTTGCTTAGAGTTGCTGCGTATGTGATGGATTAATATTACAGTATTTAAATTACAGTTTAATCACCTGATACAGTTTAACCTAATCTAGGTTTTGTCCTAAGAACATCCTATTTGACATCTTTTGCTGTAGGAGTTTTTGGTGTTGAGCAGTTCTGTGTTCCTGTGCAGCTGGGGTAGCTCCAAGGGCTTTTCCTATGTCCTGAGCATTATCCCCTCAGGTAAAAGAATAGAAAATTTATATCACAACTCTGGTGTACAACTTAGGCCTTTCCTGTTTGTAAAAGCCCTATATAGACATCTCATAAAAGTTGGTCAGGATCAGAGAAGATGGGAAGAGTTCCTGCTACAAAAACAATTCACTCCGAGTCTGTATCTTGAGTTCTACGTTTCACTTAACATGAGCAGGTTACAAGTGTTATTAATTATTCTAAAGACATGGCAATGAGTAATTGCCGGTTTAAAACGCAAGTATTGAAATCCTCTCGTAGTTTGAAATGGAAGTTGTTCAGATGGTATTAATTTTTTGATTTTTCACTAAGGATATTACAAATGCACTTGTTGCCAAAATCTGTCTTCTGCAGCGTATTAGTCAAAGGAAAGAAGAGTAAAAAAGTATGTGGCAACAGTCTGATGTGAGCACATAACCACAATTTTTATTTTCTATATTAAACTCCTCCCACTGTTGCAAAACAAAGGTTTTGCAGCCTTTTGATTATCTGCTTTGTCTGTGAGTGATTATGTAAAAGAAGAAAAAAAACAGGACACAAGACAATCCCCCCCCCAACCTGGTAGTTGGTTCCTGCTGTTTAAACCAGGTTTTAAAAAATGTTCTTTTAAAAAAATGCACGTTAAGACCTAAAGTTTTCAAAACCAGAAAGTGTGGATGTGCAAGAAAAAAAATCCTACAGCGTAAGCCAGGTCTGCACGGGGGATGATTTGGTGGGGTGGGGGAGAAAAATTACAAAAAGCACAAGGTATTTGGGGTTGGGTGGGGGTTTTGCGGGTTCTTTTAGTTTAGAAAACGTACTGTTTTCCACAAAGTCCCCCCGGGATGATGTCGCTCCTGAGGCAGGCCTGGCCGGGGACGTGCTGCAGCAGAGGGCAGTGGCAGCACACCCGAATTTTGTGGTGTTCCAGCTCTAAAGCTCCCGGGCTGTCGGCAAAGGGTTGATCTCCATAAATGTACTCTAAATCCCTCTGACTTTGAATAGGAACGAAGAGTGCACCTTTGACATCTAGTGGGTGTTACCAAGATGTTCAACGTTTCGTGCAACTTGCGGGTTCTGTTCCAGGCTATTTCTGATGACCCAAAGGACTTTGATAATTTGTCTTAGCAAATAACCAGACGTAACAGCTGCGGAGCTTGCGATTGCAACTCACCTTCTCTGTTTGGGACTTGAAATCTTAAAAAAATGAGTGTTGGCTTAGTATTTCTTAACTGTTTCAGTCTGCACATCTGTACTGTTCGCTTTAGTATTAAAAAAAATGGGTTTCAACACCTCCCGCTGCAGATGTAACCAGGAAATGGGGTGAGCTGCAAGAACAAGGTGAGGGGCTTTGTAGTTTTTAGTTCATGTTTCACTTAGTGCCGTCAGTGGTGTCCCCGACACTTTCTGAAACTGCTCCTGCTTGTGTGCTTAATTCCTTGTTGACCCTCGATTTTCACCTGGGCACTCACGAAACAGCACAGGCTTTGGGAAGTTTTGTGGGGAGTTGTTTTCTTGCGTATCGTCAGCAGATTTTGCAGTTTGGGGAAATGTTTTTTTTGTTGTGAGAAGGAGGAAAAGAAGCTGCAAATGAACTTGGGTGGTCACAGTCCAGGCTGCCCTAAGGAGAGAAGCAAGAAAGAATAAATAGGGGTTCACAGTGCCCAAATGTTAGTTGTGCTCAGGAGTAAATCTGTACATGTCTGGCTTTCACTCCAGTGATTCAGGATCCCCACGCTGTTAATTCATCTGTTGGAGCAGCCGCTGCGCAGTGCCAAGGCAGCATCGTGCCCTGAGGTCAGGAGACTGGTGGCATCTCCACCTTGTCCCTGCAGGAGGGCAGGAGAGACGCAGCACCGGCTTCTGGGCCACCTCTACCCTGCGGCATCATCCTCCAGTGGAGACAAAGCCCGGACAGGAGGGGAAATGTAAGTAGACAGCAAAGCAGAGGAGGGTGCCCCCAAACTTGAGCCGTGCCGCTGCCTGCCCAGGGCCTGTTGGGAGTCACTCACGGGCTGCTGGTCATCTCCATCAGTCTCATCATACGTGATTACAGCCGAGTTTTCGTGTGTTTGCTGTTGCCACCGGCTTTGCTTTGTCCCTGTTATCCCCTTTGCACACCCTCTGTTCCGGGGCAGGAATCAAAACCAGAAGAGTACCAGGAGTTGGCACTATGGCTTTGAGCCTCTTGCCCTTTTCTTCGCCCTGTCCCTTCTCAGATTTGGTGCTGTTACTGCTGAGCTATTTGAATGGGAAATAAAGGGGAATTCAGTTGAAGTTGAAAATCAAGACATGCTGTCTGCCTGTTCAATTAGGAGGGCATAGTGAAATCTGTGTTTCTTCCTATTCATTGGCTATTACATTAAAAGCCTTCTCTCTTAATATATACTTATATATGCAGCCTGCTTTATGTGGCTTTTACCACATAAGAAATGGAGACGTTATAATCAAGGCAGTAATAGCGCTGAATGATTAAAAGTAACTTCTGATTGTTTTGGCTTTGGTCAAATGTATGACCTGAAACTGCTGACTCGAAACAAAATGAGGTAGATAAGTCTCGTTCCGGACTGTGCTCATCCCTAAGCATGCCATACTGGTGTATATTAAAAAAAAAAAAAAAAAAAAAAAAAAAAAAAAAAAAAATCAAATCTTTGTAAAGCAGCAGGGCTGATGGAGAAGTCAGACCACCCAAACCATCCTACAGGGATTAATTTCCCATAGGAACATTTGTGGAGATTACAAAATACTGAATTTCTCCAAGATCTGGAAATCATTTGTATGTCGGTTCGTGAGATTTAAAATGAGTTAATTCAACTTTCTGGTAATTGGAATGAACAGCACCTTCTGAGGGCTATGAGTCAGGGCTGTGGAGCTGTGTGGTTTCGGGGTGGCAGCCTGTGTGGGGGCACAATGGTTCACCACTGTTGGCCCTCGTTATTCGGGGAAATTAGGAAACTGGGGCCTGCAGCATCTTTCAGCTGATGTTGTAAATACAGCCAATTCATTGATCCAGAGTGAATCAGAGGAGCAAGAGGGGGGGTTAAAAAAAAAAAAAAAAAAGGATACAGTGATTTTAAAATAAAGCCGTGCAGAACCTCCTGTCAGCCCAGCTCTGGGTGGTCTCTGATTTGCTCATGTTGGTGGCAGCACAGGAGCCTTTTTGGGCACAAACTGCCCAAATTGCACTGAATCCCTCTTAGCAGGGTGGAAGTGCCAGGTCCAAGTGATGGACCATATGCTGTTGGTTCGCATACACGCTTTGTTTTGAAGTAAACAGGAACTCTGTAAATACAGCTGGGAGAAATGTGGTTGGGGGGAAGAGCATCCAGAATGGGTGTCGTGGCTGTACCAGACTGCCGGGCTGGGGCTGACTGGTGAGGACTGGCTCCCCCGTGATCAGCTACAACTCAAGTTTAAAAGACCCAGACCAGAAACAGTCTGATACATCCCTAGCGATGAGAATCTGCTGCTTCTCGAAAAACTCAGGAAAATGGTGTAAGAGATTAAATCAGCAGATAACGTCTTGGAGCTGACTTCAGAGGGGTTGTTTTCTTTGCTCGGTGGAGTTGCTCTCTCCACTGCCAATATTTGCTGCTTTGCTCACGTGCTGTTGAACACGTTCGATAAAATGTCATTCTGCTTTTTGAGCACTGCTGGGGTTTAAACAAGCTGCTCAGCTGCAGAGTATCTTGTAAGCTCCCTTCTTGTAAACAGTAAATAAAAATGGATGGTGTTTTGCTCAAAGAAATAAATATTGACTCTTTAGAAGAATGGAAGGACTATTTTCCCAATAACTTTGGAGAGAGGACTAGACAGTGGATCTTGAAAAGTCATAGCTGCTTTGCTTGGATGTGCCAAATCCAGCAGATGGGTGCTCCCTTCCTCCATGCTGGGCCATCGCTGGTGCCCCCTCCACAGGGTGGGGGGGACACCCCAGGCTGGGGCTGGGTCACCCCAGGTACGTGCCACCAGCTGTGCTGACCCCACAGTGCTGCTGATGGGGACTCCCGGGGGGGGTGATGCCTGGTCCTGCTCACTCCGGGCACTCGGCGCTGCAGCAGAAGTGCTGTACTACCCTCATGTTGCTCATTATTTTTTCCTATTTGTTTACTTAAAAAAAAAAAAAAAA